ATATCTGTAACAACTTGACTGATACCCAAATACATTTACAGATGTCTGTGGCCAATATTAATCTGCTGTGAGTTTTACGTTAAAAAGATAATGTGAAGCGGGTTAAAGACATGAAATTATGCATATTATACGAAGATGCTTTTATTCTTGTATAAATAACAACAAGAACAAAAACAAAATAGAAAAACATATTAACCACATATTTATTTGGAACATCTTCATCTAGCATGGCTTTCATCATCACAACTTGAAAGCCAAAAAACCTGAGTGTGAATCCCAAATGTTTAACAGGCTAACAGGCGGGGTCTAACAAAAGGAGCTTTGTGTTGCATTTTGGGGAATGTAGGCTTTAATGGTACCAAAAGCTTTAGCCATGTTAGAGACGAAAACTTAATTTTTTTTTAGTATCACAACTTTCATGACATGTTTCATCATTTTCACATGATGAAACATGTCATATTTCACGTGTTCTTTAATACTTTCTGAAATTTCCTGACCTTAGAGAGAGAGGTACAAATAAAAATGAAACTTAAGCATCATTCATCATTACTGATAATCAAGATTAGCATTTAGAATCACGTTTTGAAGTATATTTCAGTGTGTGAATGCGCTGTGTGTAAACAATGCTATTTGAGCTGCTGCCTTTCTGGTGTTCTGCTTAATAAAAAGCAGAAAAACTGACGTCCTGTTTCCTCGTTATACATTTCTTTTCTTACCTGGACCAGAAGATGTTTTGGCTTGGGTCCTCTCTTGCGATACCCCATCATCTGCTCTTGACGTTCCCTGCGGGAGAGGAACACACCAGCCAATCAGTGAACCATGACACAGAGATGAGTTGCAGTTGCATGGCAACACGACGTCATGGGTGTCCTCCTCGTGCTCTATTAGAAACCGCTGAGCATGTGTTACACTTCCTGATGTAAGGCGAGCATACATTTCTATTTGTTCATCATATATTTACCTGTCCTCTCCTTCATTTAAACAGGATCAAATGTACATTTATCCTCAGCTGCTACAAAAGCTAAACAGTCACTTTATACCAACACTCAGAATCCAGTAAACAAACTCTATCCACAGTGGAAGATAAGGGCCAACCCCTCTCTGACTTTCCTCAGTCTCCATCCAAGTCCCTCCAAGACAGTAATTCAATACCGCAGACAGGAGTGATGTCAGATTCCTCCCCCACCCTCCCCCCCTCACATCTAATTACAATGACGACTCGGTGTATTTTCATAGCCTGGCATTCAGACGATTTGGCTCCCCCGAGAGGCACGCAATTAGTTTCAATAAAACCCCTCCTCTTTGGAGAAAGCGAGAGATAATTGCGAAAACAGCCGTAGAGTGAAGTCAATGTTTTGCTTTAACGTGCGACCTGCGCCTGAAAGGCTGCTGTAGGCAAAAGCTGAAGGAGACTGAGAGAGAAGCCAGTGACAGTTTAACACAGCGTGCATTTAGGAAATTCAATTACACTGCCCTTCACATGGAGCAGCCTGGTCAGCCACTCAGCAGAGTATTTAGCATTTAGCCAAACAGCTAAAGTCACCAAAGTAGCCAACGTTAAAGGCTAATATTTGAATTTTTCTGATATATACGTTTACTAAGATACAAAGTAGTTCCTTCAATCTTGCTTTGCTTTTGCACCGTCATCACATCATGAGCCGATTACTTAAAGATGTGAACCATAATGTAAACTTCCCCTCGACTCCAAAACACACTTTGCTTCATGTTCCTTCAGACAGATATTTAAACTCTACCATGCACGATGATGTAATGTGCAGAATGTGACTAAATTATTTTCACTTGTTTTGTCTGCTGAGGTTTTTTTGTGCCATCAGAAAGTCTGACTTTAACATGTGTGCAGGCAAGCTGGATTTATAGCACTAGAAACTGTATAAATGCAAATCCATAAGCAATTTAAGCAATGTGAAAGATGCAGATAGTTTAAATAAGCAGTACACCTATACAACTAAAGAAGTATAAAGTGACATCATAACTCTGACTGATCCTAGTACTAGACTTCATTGATTTTTAATGGAGATCTTTTAGTTGAATACTAAGTGTAATTCATCTCTGAAAGCTGCTGAAATATGTCTCGTGTCCTCTGTATTTGTGTTCTTAAAAGTGGTGCACATCAGAAAATCCAGGGGGAAAAAAGTCTAACCTGCAAAAAAGTAAATGGATCAAACAACCTTTGAACAATCATCATTCACTTATACAGTCATGCTGTGGACAATGACACTGGTCATCTGGTGAGTGGATGGCAGGACAGCAGGTAGCACTTTAGCAGGATAACATGATGCCGACACTCGAATAACTATCAGGTAACAAAAAGTAGATGTGCAACAAAGTGGTTCAGTTTGATCTGACAACCCTAACCTGAGCTTAACCCTGATCCAACTCTGACGACACAGAGTTTAATCTAAAGACAAACATTAAGGCTTTTCTGTTAACCAAACTCTCTACACTTCTAAAACTTACAGGGGAACCTGCTTTACTCTCTGGGGATGGGTGACAGATATTTTATGTGCTGTGACAAAAACTGGAAATGTAAGATACAGTGGATTAAAACCTGTTCTATCATGTTTTTCAGCAGCTTGTGCACCGGTGAAGCTTCTTTATCAAACTAAAAACGTACCTGTCTTGAAACGCATCAAGTAGTCTTGGGTCCAGGATGTTCTCCTCTGGTTCCCATGTGTTGTATCTGTCCACAGAGGAGAGGCAGAGAGCAGTGAGTGCACGCTGGCCAGTCAAAAACGGCTCACCACAACAGGCACTGGCTGAAGATACCCAGGTGACAGGACCTAATTCAATCTATTACTTATAAAATCTCCCTAGAGTCATAATTGTGGGCGTGCATGTAAACAACATGCTGCGACGCTCGTCCTCCCTGTGGATACACGTGTAATAAATCATGGGTAACTTTTACGCACGGTGATAGGGGGAGGAAACAACGGTCCGGCCTCCACACAAATCTCGATACGTGGCATTTCTTAAACATAGTGTTCAATTATAGACATGTCTTCCTCTAATTGGCACACTGGGGATTGCATACATTGGAAAACCACATCCATCATCGGGGCCAATAAACGCGCCGAGCGCCCAGAGCAAGAACGCGCAACCCCCCGTACGCGCGCCCACGCACGGAAAAACGCAGACATTTACACTTGCGCACACTTTCTGTTTTGGATGTGGCGTCCTCGTTGAGTGTATTTCTCTTATCAAGTGCACTCACCTTGGAGACCATCCCCGCCACTTGACCAAATACTCAACCCGTCCCTGTGAAGGAGGAGAAACGGGATAATGAGCGTAACGTTACTTCACTCCGCGCCGCACAGTCATCTTAAAATATCGAAAAACAATAATAGTGATAATAAAACAACATATGCTCCGCTGAAAGCAGAAGTGAAAAAGAAAAATCAGCCTCCTTTCCAAGTGCATGTGTGCAAAAATGTCCTTCGGCGCTCTTGTGACAAACCTTTCTGCTGCGCTTCTTCTCGATGCTCTCCACCGCAAAGACGTGCTCTCCCGCGGCGGGTAGCTCCATTTTCCGATACAAGAGAAGCCGCTCTTCTGCTTTCCCCCCCCTCTCTGCTTTTGTTATCGGACACCTTATCCTTGCTTTCAGCCCGTTTTTCCTCGCTGCTCCTCTGATGTGAAACACAAGACTCCCCCCTCCTCCTATTTTCACTGCACCGCTTCCCTCGCTTTCCCCCTCAGAGGATCTCGCTCTGCAGCCGAGATACGAGCTGCAGCCAGAAAACACTTCATGCAAATAGCCGTTGGTGTGACGTTACATGAGGGGGAGGTTATTGGGGGCGGGGGTTGTTCCCGTGCTGCATTCGGAGACTGTCGTAAAAAGTGTAATCACGACTTCAACGGCGCGTAAACAACATAAAAAAAGCTGCAAGTGGCTGATGTAGAGGATGTCTTTGAGAAATTTGGCGAGGGATGGAAACCAAGGCAAAAACTGGTGGCTGAAATGTTGTTGTGGGCTAGTTTATTGTGCCAGGATATTAACACCAACCAGACATGAATGGCGTTTACTTTTTTCCTGTAGAAAAACAAAAATATGACGCTAATTTTGCCTACATGAGAGTGTCTAAGCTTGTACCCATCCGGCCTGTTGGTAGGAAGTTCTAATATTATTAAGTCCTCCATGTCTGACTGTGTGGAGATGCCGGTGTGTGAAATCACCTGCTCTCCTGTTTGTTTGGGCGGAAAATCACCTTGACAGATAATAACAAACTTTCTACCTAAAGCAAGGATGTTCAATATGTGGCTCTGGGGAACAAACACGGTGCAAACTACCATATAGGATGGCTTTACATCCAAGTGAGAGAAAAACAGTGATGTCTTTACCATCTTTGATTTGCTTTCTAAATAAAAAAACAAACATTTATATAATTACAACGTTTTTTTCTTATATTTTGATAAACTGCTGGAACCATGAATAGTGACATGCTGTGATTATTTAAATACATATATACATATAAAACTTTATGTATGAAGGTTTCGCGTTTTTGCAGAACCTCTGTGATACACCTGTCAGAAGACGCATTGTTGACATTCCTCTTATTTTTAAGACGTAGCCTGATTATTATATGTTTGTGAGCAATAGTCTCCTTATACTGAAACAAAAGTGGATTATTATCCCACCCTTTTATTGGCCCACGTGAGATCAAATTAGACTGTTTGTGACTAAAGAACTAACGTGAGGGTGACACGCCTATCAGAAAAACAAGTGCACTACACAACGTGACTGGGGTAGTAAAGGTTACGAGCCAAAACAAGAGCCTGAACGCCTCACCTCCCTCCCTCGTCGCTGAACGCGAAGCCAGATCTAACTGGAAGAGACTGCTATGAATGGTGAGTGTTTTATCCTGAAACGTGATGGCCCGAATGTGCTGCTCACCAGCCTCAATTCAGCATCTGGGCAAGGCCTTGCAAATAATGTTGTATTTGCAGTCACAGCACATCAACAGTCCGAGTTTATACGAGATATTTTTTCTTATCTTTGCGCCTTCGCACTTAATAGCGCCTAAAGCGCTATCCAAAATGTGTTTTATGAGGGCCACACGATGAGGTGGTTAACCTAAGATTGGATGTCCAAAAGAGCCTCAAAATGGAAACCATCCACCTGAAAATACACAACAGGCCCAACCAAAGTCAAGGCCAGAGCCCGTCTGACATTGATTTATCACCGCCACCATAACAAGGCCTTCTCTATTACGGCAAATGCCAGTGAAACGGGAAAAACACATTCCCATCCGAAGCCCTGTAGTGTGGATAATGCGGCATGAATCGTGACCCTGTGTAAAGTTAAATTGCGAACAGAGCCCCTGCGCTGCTATGCGCATTACAATGAATAGATTTCCATATCTTCCCTGAGTCAAGGTCACACAAAGAGATGACATTTCGCATGGCAGCGTGTCGCGGGGATTTTCTGGTGGATTTTCGCGTTGTTAGAAGATAGCTCCTGGTTGAGTGGCAGCCGATGTAGGTCATCCTCTTACTCTAGCCCTCGGTTTTAACTCCGGAGGGGTTATTTCTGACTGAGCCCCGACAAGACAGGCACCAGCCGGTTCCATTATTGGCACGGACAGCCTGTGGACAGCCTGAACCAGCTCGGGCCTGAAGCTGAGGGGGGCACACGGACCTGCAGCACCAAAGCCGACGGTTTGTGCTAGAAATGGTTGCGCTTATTTGCACCTGAGGGAAGGTTGAGGATTTTGATATAATTAGACGGACACAGAGGGAGGTTACAAATAACATGTGCTGTTCTTTCCCGCTGTTGGCACACGCAGCTCTCTGTTCACTATTATTCTTTACATTTAATCCGAGTCTGAGGGAGGAAGTCAATTCATAAACATCTATTCGAAAACAAAAGCGTAAAAATGTCACTGCAGCCCCGGCCGCATTGTTTCAGACGGCAGGACTAAATAAAATTCAGCAGCGAAAGGGTTAAAGTGCAGAGTTCCCGCAGGCTGCTGCGCTGGGCCTATTGCAGGCAGGCACGGCGGTCTTTCCTTATAAGGCAATGGGCGCAAATCGGCAGTGAAATATCGCCTGAAATGAACGAACGCAGCGCACTCGCACTTCTCTGTTTCCCCCCCAAAAAAGCTTTTCATATGTACAAAACATTCAATACTCATCAAGTCGGCCCCTCTGTGCTGGGCTGCACGGCAGCCTCGGCGCGCGCACACGTACAGCGCCGCTCGCGCGGTCTGCTAATTCATCTGCGTCACTCCTGAATTAAGGATGAGCAGAAGAGCCGAGGTCGCAAATTAGAATCTGGGGGTGAAGGTGAAGGTGCCAGTGCCAAAACGTGCTGGTCAGAGAGCTTCTACCAAGCGTCCGCGCGGCCGTGCACGTGTCACCTGTCTGCACTTCAAACCTGATGATGTCAAAACCTGCTGAAGATCAAATATCATATCTAGGTATCATATTTGTCTTCGAGCAAAAAAAGGCTGCTGGCGCCAAGTGTTGATATACTACATCTTTTTTTCTTTTCGTTTTTTTTTTGTCTCGTGTTTTGGGAACATGGGCACGTGCTCCAGGGGTGGGTGTAATGTGATGGCGCACGTGCGTGTTGGTTATTAACGGTATCTCGGAAACTTTACCTGAACAGCACCACGCGGCTGCATTTGCGCTTTTAAAATTCGCCAACGGCAGGAACGAAAACCAGCGCAGTCGTCGGCGGTTTAGCGCAAATAAGCCCGTTTCTCTCCAGCTGCACGAGCGCACTTTATTTAATATTTCGGCGTTAATTCCTCCCACAGCCCGGGCTCCGTTTTATTTTAAAACCACCTGAGAAAAAAAAAAGTGACGCAGAGAGAGAACAAACGTCTCTCGCGTGATTGGATTCGCTTTTGTCTCGATCTCCTTCTAAATTCATCCTCATGCCAACTTTATGTTTAAAAAAAATAAATCTAATAAATGCATCAGGATGCTGCAGGAATATGTTGGAAGTTTCTGCCACATTAAAAAAAAGAAAGAAAAACGTTTCTGTCTTCCTTCGTATGTGTGTGGACAGGAAAGTCCTTTAGATGGAAAAGCCCGACGTGCAGGTGCCAGTCAGATCTATGAAATCAGTGCTTGTGAGAGGACAGGATGAAGGGAGCGCACTAACAGGAGAAATCCACAGGAAATTACAGAGAAATTAGCTCATTTTGAAGTTTAGTTTTGAAAGGAGAACGTTTAAACCCACTCCTGCCCAACCCTTCACTCTTCTCCACCTGTAATGAGCTGCTTGTTCAGTCTTAATAGATGCAAACTTTAAGTAAATCTGCTTGTGTTTATGAGTTAGAAGGAGTACTTCCCCTCTGCTAAAAAACTAAAGCGCATGATTGCAAGTCTTTGTGTCACACGGTGGAGGGGGGTTGAAGTAAAATAATGACTGGATTCATTAGTGACAGGGTGAGTGGAGGGGAAGAGGTGACGTTACTGTTACAAGAAGTGAAAAACAAAGAAAAAAAAGAGAAAATTCTTCCTCATGCGTCACATAAGTGTCTTAGATTCATGATTTATATGAAACCAATGTAAGTTTGAAGTATTCAGCAGGTGAATCGGCAGGTGGACACGAAAGCTCATATTCATTTACAAAAATCCTCCAATCCCAAGCATACGATGACGCTCTTTCTCCGAGTGGGAACATCTGATTAAGATGACATTTCCACGTGGGAAGACATGACACTCTGCCTGCATCACAGCGCAGTGCTGCAGATCCAATGACAGCAGAGGAAAAACAGGAGATGGAGGGATGAGGTGACGTGAAAGTCCAGAAGAAAAGATTTGACTAACGGCAGTGAAATTAAAGCTGAGATCCAGATGTGTAGTTTCAAATCGACTACTGATTGTTTGACTTCTGAAGAAAGAACTTGGAGGAGAGATTCAGGTTTTCTGGAGTTTCCATAAATAAGTCACCTGACCTTAACCTCAGAGGCATTTAGCAATCTTAAATCAAAATATTTTCTGGTGAAAGGTCAGCCAACCACCACGGCTGACATCCTTTAAGTACATATTAAGCACATAAAGAAAAGTGCTGCCTCGGAACTAAAAGCTTTACAATTATTTAATCAATTGAAAGGTTTCTTTAATGTAGGAGAAAAGCAGCAGACGTCAGACTCTCTGACTGAGACTGGCTATAGAAAAAGAAAGCATGACAGACTTTTGAATTATGCAGATTTTCACAAAGTTTAAAAATACTTCTGTTTTTTAAACTGTTACCTGAAACCAAACACACGTCGAGTATAATGAAATCTGCATTATTGGTCCAAACTGCTGCAGTTTTGTTGTTGCCCACAGCCGAACAGCCCAGTCTGTCATCTCTCTATTTCACTGCACATTTCCTTTTCAGCTGGGATTCACCGCAGCTTCTTTTCTCTCACCACACAGATCAAACGAGTGAGTCAGCGCTGCACTACAGACAGCTTTTAATGCCATTCTCAGCCTGCGCTCGTGACATGTTTTACCGTCTTCGGTAGGCAGCGACGGCTGGTGGGAGGGAGACAAAGAAAGCATGATTCATAATGTTTTAACGTGAATGGACGTGATTATTCAATCCCTAATAAATATAACGCGTACAATATGTTAACAAAGATTTCTTCGAGGAGACTTTCACATTTGGTTTGATGTATAACTTTGTAAATATGGCACATTAACTTTGTAGTATTTTAAATCACTCAACACGTGTCTGACAGCTTTAATTCATTAAGCGACTCAGGTGTTTGATGTTTGAGTCTGAAGTAATTAGTTAATATATTTTACTGCTTTG